AACCTCAAGAGCTACCGGTCAGGGCAGTGCAACTCAAAGAGAGGAAAATCCAGGTTTAAACAATAAATTAGGAGGTAATTCTCTTACTTTACAAAAGGATTCCTTACAGAATAGAGCAGTTCTTTAAACAGCAGGTTCTATCCCTTCCCCACCCTACCCCCCACCCCCCAAGCAAGACTGCTTTACACAGATGCAATTAGCACTTAGCCTTTCCCAAGAACACAGCTGTGTCAAGTGAGATTCCTTCCCCACCCCCCCCACCCTACAGGGAGCTCTATCTTCCCCTCCCCTGCCTATCTCAGGCTTTAGAGTAGACCCCCTAAAGTGGTAACTTTTGCCTTATCTCATCGAACTGAGTCTGAACACAGGCACACATACCTGCGTCCTAGCTTCTCCAAACCTCTCTAAATTGTTCACTCCACTTCCTGGGGAGGAAAAGTTGGTAGACAGGAAAGAATGCTACGCCACTCCCTCTCTGGGCTGCTGCCCTGAAAGCCTAGATTTCTAAACTCTAAGGTTCTCAGAACAGCAAACCCTGCTGTCAGGAAGAACTAAGCAGCTGGTTTTTTAAGAATGGGTAGAAAGTAACCTCCTGACAGAGAGGGGATAGACTCAAGACGCAGACTGAGACATATATTTTTGGACATGGTCAATGTGGGAATTTGTTTTGCTTGACTATAAATATTTACTACAGGGTTGTTTGTTTGTTTTTTCTCTCCCAGTAGAGGAGGTGAGAGGGAGAAACAATTAAATACTCGTTAATTGAATCAAATCAAGTCAAAAGAAAAAAGGGTGCTACAGAAACAGGATGGTGATTTTATGTCTGGTGGTATATGGGGGTGAGGGGAGGGTCAAAGCATCCAGAAGCCTTAGACCATGATCTAGGAAACCTAAGGACACAGACTCTAGGTCTGCCTCTGCCACTAACATGCCACGTGAGTTCCAGCAAGTTACTTAAGCTCTGTCACAGAAAGAACATTCAACATCAGGAGATCTGGGATCTAGACTCAGCAGTATCACTAACTCCTCCCTGTGTGACCTTAGGCCAGCCACCCAGCTTCTCTGGGGGGGTCCATGGTCCATTGCTGGACTCCATAACTACCAAGTTTTATGAACGGCTGAATCATGGAATAATCATCTTTATTGATCTCTGCCACACATGTCCAATCCAATAGGAAGGCCCCTCGCCCATCCCAGGCCTGACTGAAGGGTCTAACATGCACTGAGCTCTAAGCTTGGCCAGTCACTCTCACCCAGCCTTGGGAAGGGGAAGGAAAATGTTTTCCCTGATGTGAGAAAACTCCAAAGTGACTCATTCTCAGGAGACAATGATAGAAGCAGGGCCTGTGACAACTGAAAAGCTACCAGTTGATCAACTAGGAAAGACCTGGCTCCCCAGAGGGGGTAAAGGTAGAGAGACCTTACTGGATTCAGACAAGAGAGCCAATCTGGGGAGCCCAGATCAGGCTGAATCTCGGTGGGGAAAAGCAAGAAAGCAGGAGTCTAGAGTCTCAGCCTCCTGCTCTGATAACAAGCACTCTCCCTCCCCTCCATCCCCAACACATATACAATCACTCAAACCCCTCTATCCCCCCGAAGTACATGTAACAGCAATTTGGAGGGGGGAAGCAGAACCACACGTCCCCCCTTACACATACACTATAATCAGCCTCTGGCATGTCTCTTCAAAAGTAACAGACAAAAGAACATTGGATTAGAAGTTAGAACACCTGGGTTCCAAGTCTCAGCTCTACCACTAATTTGCTGTGTGGCTTTGGGTAACAATCAATCATTTCCTCCTCTGTAAAATAAGGAAATAGGAGTCCACTGTGTACTGAGCCTTGTATACAGCGGGCATTCCATAAATGTTTGTGGAATGGAATGGTCTGCAGTGGCATGAATAGAGACACAATCGGTTGCTTTCAGGAGAGAACAGAGGCCTCTTGTCTCTTCTCTATCTAACCCCTTGCCCACCTGTTTGTACAGGGCTTTGGGTCTTCATCCTTTGTGTCAACTGGTGACCAGCAGGGTTGTCAGTTACTCTTCCGAAGACAGGTGACTTAAGAAAAGTAGGCCTCACCCCGGTCCATGAAACCTTTCCTGTCTATTCCCACTAACTTCTTCCTCTGCTCAGGAATCGCACGGCACATCAGACACTGTCCCATGAAAACTTTATGCTAGTAGCTCCTCTTTCCCCTACTAAACCATCAGGATTTAGAGATGTTAAATGAATCACTCAAAGTCATGTAGCTAACAAGGGGCAGAGCCAAGGCTAAGCCCACTGTTCTTTCTTTCTTTCTTTCTTTTTTAGGCAATTGGGTTTAAGTGACTTGCCCAGGGTCACACAGCTAGTAAGTGTCAAGTGTTTGGTCTGAGGCCGGATTTGAACTCAGGTACTCCTGACCAAGGGCCAGTGCTCTATCCACTACACCACCTAGCTGGCCCACCTCACTGCTCTTTCAATGGTACCCCAATGCCCTTCCAGTGCCAGGCTGAGCTATTGAGATTCGATCCCACAGATAATGGAAAGATATATGTAATTTCTGTGTTTAATGGTTTATGTATGTATGTAGAGACACACATTCTGTATCCCTCCCCCAATATCTAGTATGGTTCAATTAGTGCTTCTTAATTATGGCAGTGTCCCCCCAAAACACTAGCATAACTGAGGCTCCTCTTCCAAGTATCTCCTGGCTACTCTCAGTCCCAGCTAAGGGTCAGTGAGTCAGCTTGGTAAGTGGGGAGTAGGGAAGGAAGGTTTCACTCTCACTTAAGAGTGGTTTGCCAGGATGGACAGAGGGGTATAACCCAGGGGCAGATTTGGAAGAATCACAAGGAAGACCTAGGAGTCCAGACTCCCAGGCTGCCTCCTTGTTCAAAAGATCTTAGATTTAGAGCTGAAAGAGACTTGAGATCATCAACTTCAACTTCCTCATTTTGAAGAGGGGGGATCCAAGGCCCAGAGTAGCTAAGTGACTTGTCCAAAGTCACACAGAGTAAGGAGCAGACCTGGAATACGAAGCCAGGTTGTCCAACTCCAAATTGGATTTGGACTTCCACTACATGAGGGCTGCCTCTCCCCAGCTGGGGGAAGGGAGCTTTCAGCTGCTTGGGCTAGGGCTGACCCTGCCATCCCTGGGTGCACTGTGTAGTGGAAAATGCCCGCTTTGTCCACAGCCATACAGGAACCTTGATTGTGCCCACCCCTCCCCCACCCAGCAGGGCTAGGGGCCAGGAGTGGTGCCAGGGGAAGGGAGGTAGGAAGGGGAGGTCTGCCTGCCTCTCTGAGGCCTAACAGATAAGGACCTCCTTCCCTGACTAACTGGGGGCCGGAATGACTGACCAAGGGATGTCCATAGCCTGACTTTCAACACAGAGACCTAATGTTCCTAAGAAGAAGCAAGATGGGGAACAAAGCTGGGGTTGGAGGCCTTGGCCTGAGAGCCGTTTCTGTTCCACACTTTAAATCATCCAGCAGGTGGTCTTCACTGGCTTCTGCGGGGAGGGGGAAGGGGAAGCCAGTCCCCAGATGCCCATTCATCCTGAGGGTTTAGGGGGATGTGGGTAAGGAGAAGGAACAGACAGCAGAAGTCCTAGCTGCATACTCAGGCTAAATCTTTGGCTTTTTCCCTTGCCTATCTAGGACTAGGACAGGAAATTTGGCTTGAAAGCCTCTTCCCTAAACCCCTTTCAGGACTACTGGTAACCTCCTCCCAAGCTTTGACATTTCTACCTCTTCCAAGCTTTAGGCCAACAGTCTCTAAGCCTCCCCTTCCCTTAACCTTCCCTTCCTCCCTCCAAGGGCTACCCGTAGCCTTTGAAATTCTAAACCTAAACCCATAAACCTAGCCTTATAATCTTATCCCTGCTACTCTAATCCTAACCCTTGTCTCCCAACTCCATGACCATAACTCCACCACCTGGCCTCATCTATCCTACCTAGTGCAATGTGATAGGGGAAAACTCACTTAACTTTCAGTCAGAAGGACCCAATTCTAGTCCTGGATAGCTGTGAGATCAACCAGGTGACCCTGATAGATGGGAAAAGACATAGAGATGCCCATGAGGAGGTGATGAGGCTTCTGCTCACTGCTACTCTGTGAACTGGGGAAGAATTCCAGTATCAGAAACCGCCCAATAAGGGATGTCCCATCCTTGGGTTGGTGAAGGAAGAGCCAAGGAGGTCTAACGTTAGAACAATAACAAACTCAGCCCTTCCTCCATAAGTCATGTGGCTTTCTCAACCACTCATACAATAAGCATTTATTTATTTATTTTGGCTAGGCAATGGGGTTAAATGACTTGCCCAGGGTCACACAGCTAGTGTTATGTGTCTGAGGCCACATTTGAACTCAGGTCCTCCTGAATCCAGGGCCAGCACTCTATCCACTGCGCCACCTAGCTGCCCCTCAATAAGCATTTATTAATCACCTATACCATGCTCGAGGCACTCCATCTGACATGTTTCCAGAGTTCTCTTCCTAAGACTATTTTCATCCTATCATCCTTCCAAGAAGATTTAAGAACTTTTCATTGTTTCCTTCCTTCTACCAAATCAAGTCCAGATTCCCATGCTTGGTACTCAAGGCCTTTTAGGGGCCCAATCGACCTTATTTCTTATAGTACACATCTAATGACAAGGTGATACCCTGACCCCCTCTACCTCCAAATCTCCCCAAATATCCTTTGCGTATTCCCATCTGTGAGCTATGTCTCTGCTCGTCTTGCCTCCCCAACATAAAAAAAAGTTTCCCTGGATCCAAATCCTACCCACCATTCAAGACCCAACTTCTCCCATCTGCTCTTCCAAAAACAACAGCCAGGGAGGTATTTTAGATCCAGCGGTGTAGACCCACACATCCACCTGGCTTCCACCCTCTGGTCCCTGGGGCACAAGAGGGAAGAACCCACCTCTAAATTATGCTGAGTAAGCCTTACCTCTCAACCCCTCGGGGACTCCTGGGGCCACCTTGATAGGGGCAGAGAGGGGAAAAGGATACATTTTGACTGCTCCAGACTTTGTACCAATGGCCATGATGCGAAGCTTGGGGTCATAAGCCAGAGAGCTGGGCTGGTTGGGGAATCCATGTTCCACAGTCTGGAAGGAAAAGGAAATAGCTGGTGACATTCCAGACTCAGGGAAGGAGTTACAGGGCCCAATGAGGGTCCCTACTCTTAAAGGGCAAGGGGCAGAGAGAGACACGCAGAGACAGTTACACAGACTGGTTCAGACACATGCCCAGACAGACACACAGATACAAACTGATAAACATAAAAATCACACATGCCTTTCCATTACTTACAGGCTCAAGTCTAAACAGCTCAGCCTGGCACTGGAGAGAGAGTGTGTTACAATGGACTCGGGATTCACACAGGCCTGAGTTCAAACCCTGGTTTTGCCACTTCACTGATCAAATGATCTCAGATAACTCATGTAAACCTTGATTTCCTCATTTGTAAAAGGAGAAGACACACTCACGCTGCCTACCTCAAAGCACTGTTGTAAGCAGAGTCTTAAAATGCTATGGAAACAGGTTTTTTTTCTTGCCTTCTCAATGGGTAGGGAAGGTAGAAGGTAGATAATTCCAGAAATGAAAATAAAATTGAATTAAAAAAATAAAATGCTATATAAATATAAAAACACCCTACACAACCTAGTCCCACGCCTAGAATGCCCTCCTGGACCATGACAATCTCCAGTGATTGCAGCCTGCTCTGTACCACTCACTGGGTACAAGGAACAGTGTTCTTTGTAACATCTGCCCCAGTGACCTTAGGGAAGTCACAGCTTCCTGACCTATAAAGTGAGACGGCTGCATTAAATCACCTCCATTATTCCATTCATTTCTAAATCTATCGTCCTTCTATGATCACAGATATTTTAAAAGTAGGTTTTTATTGATGTCTTTTGTTTCTTACAATCACCATATTTTCCCCTGTATCCCTCCCCTTTCCCAGAAGCCATCCTATACAAACAAAAAGTATGTTTTAAAGACAAAAAAAAAAAAAGAAAGGAAAAGAAGAGGGAAAAAAATCAGTCCAACCAATCAATAAACTGGAAACAGTTTAAAAACACTTGGGGACTTCCCACCTCTCCCCAAATGGGTAGGTTGGGGTGTCCTCTCAAACCTCTTCATTCAAGTCATGCTTTGATCACAGATATTTAAGTATTTATTATGTGTACAGGCTTTGCCTTTATAAAGTTTAGAGTCTAATTTAGAAATATGAGATGACCTTCCATGTATGCTAATCATATCTCTAGTTTAGACTATATGCCCCTCAAAAGCAAAGCCTGAGATTTATAGCTCTATCCTCCCACAGTATCTAGCCCAGGCCTGCATGCTCAGTAAATACTTAAATATCTGTATGAATAAATGCACATAAACAGATAATTGCAGGTCTTTGTCAGGCCCAATACTGCCTATCAACTTTATAAAGCCTAAACTACAGAAGTTTACCCAGAAAGTGCCTGGTTGTGTTCAAAGACAGCTAAGCCAGGTGGATAGATGGCTGGTGATTCTAACACCAATCCAACAGGGAAAAGAGTGGCCCCACAAAAGCTCATCTCAGAGTTATTCACACAACCAACTTTCTTCCCATCCTCCAAGAATAATTCTAGGTCAGTCCCAGAAGACAGGGTGGGAGAGGCAGAGCTGTGCTCCCAGCGGTCACCTCAGAGGGCAGGGATGTGCCTAAATGAGCATGATTTCCCAACACTCCAGGGTGCTGACGTCCAAGAATTTCTCTAAACATTCCCTCACTTCTAAGAGTAATAAGCTTGCACCAATGAGATCAATGATCAGTGAGATCCTTTATTCTGAAACTACTCCCTTGTAGCTCCAAGGGGGACTGGCCAACAGTTCCAGTGCCTGGTTGACCAGACCCACAGATTCCCACTATTTTCATGGATTCAGCTCTACTCCAGTTTTCCCGGTTTGAAGAGGCCTACCCTCCTGCAGGCGGCCTGATATGGGTGTGGAAACTCACTGTGCCACAAATCACAGCCAGCATAAATCCACTAGGCCCAGGGTCCCAGGTCACACGAAAGGGTAAATCTCGAGGGCACAGAACTAGGCTCAGAAGGAAGTATCTGTTCATCTAACCCACAACTGGAAGGAGGTTGTCTAAGTCAAAAGGTCCATCCCCCTGCCTCCAAGCAAGCCACACATGGGCACAATTCTCCCTTCTCAGGAAAACTCTTCCTTCTAGCTAACCTCAATCCTTCATAGAATTTAAGGTCGAAAGGGACTTCAAAAGCAATCTAGTCTTATCCATTCATTTTACAGGTGAGAAAACCAAGGCTCAGAGTTTAAGTCACTTGTCACAGGCAAGATTTAAACCTAGGTCTTCTGGACTCCAAGTCTAGCACTCTAAGCAATGTGGCATAGCCTTAAAAGCAATAAATATGGAGTCAAGAGGGACCTACCTCTGAACTGCTAAATTTGACTTTTTATCCCCCTCAATCTTCATCCTTCTTGACTTCTGGGACATTTGACACTGTTGGCCACACTTTCCTCCTGGATACTTATTCCTCTCTAGCCTTTCTGACACTACCCTGTCCACACTCTCCTTCTACACGCCTCAAGGCTTCTTTGACACCTTGCTGTCTTGTCACCCATACCGCCCCTCACTGTGGGTATTCACCAAAGCTCTGTCCTGGGTTCTCTTCTCTTTGTGACCTTGATGGCTCCCTGGGGTTTAATTATCATGTCCACATAAATGATTTACAGATCTATAAATCCATCCCCAGTCTCTCTCCTGAGTGTCTGTCCCAGCTCACCAACTTCCTACAGGATATTTACATCTGTATGTCCCAGAGACATCTCAAAGGCAACAAATCCAAAACTTTCCCCAAAAAACATTTCCCTCTTCCAAACATCCCTGTTTCCGTAGAGGAGTGCTGTCAAAATCAAATAGAAAGGGATCCCTGCATGCTGCATGACTTAGAAAGACACAAATTAACGTTATCTATAATGTATTGTATTTTTGTTTATTTTGTTAAACATTTCCCAGTTATAGCTTAATCTGGTTCTGGCCTCACTAGAGTTGTGAGTTTGACACCTCTACAGCAGAGGACACCATTATTTTTCTCCCATTTTCCCAGGCTGGTAACTGCCCAGTTGGTAACCCCAGCTCCTCGCTCTCTCTCATCCCATATCAGCGGCCAAATCTTGCTTTTCTACCTCCACAACATCTCTTGTATCTGACCCCTTCTGTCTACTCACATAGCTAACACCTTAGTTCACTTAGATTGGTTCCAAGAACTCCCTGAATGATCTCCCTGCCTCAACTCTCTCCCCTTTCCTGTCTATCTTCCACACAGCTGCCAAAGTGATTTTCCTCAAGCACAGGCCTGACCACGACACTCCCCCTATTTAATCAACTCTACCGGATCCCTAGTGCTTTCAGGATTCAATTTAAACTTCTCTTTTACTGTTGAGTCATTTTGGTCGTGTCTGACTCTCGTGACCCTACTTGGGATTTTCTTGAGTGGTTTGTCATTTCCTTCTCCAGCTCATTTGATAGATGAGGAAACTGAGGCAAACAGGGTTAAGTGACTTGCCCAGGGTCACACAGCCAGTAAGTGTCAAGTGTTTGGTCTGAGGCTGGATTTGAACTCAGGTCCTCCTCACTCCAGGGCCAGTGTTCCACCTAGCTGCCCCTGTAGTTATTCTTTACACACACATATATATGTACACATATAGTTGTTATTCACCTTCCCTCTCTGCCCTCCCCCATTAAAATGTATCCTCCTTGAGGGCAAGGATTGTTTTATTTTTTATATTTGTTTCTTCAGTGTCTAGTACAGTGTTTGATGCATAGTTAGTGTTTAAGAAATGCTTGCTGATTAAATTTTTCATCCACGCAGTTTGCTATCTGTGTAAAGAGCTCCTCTGAGCCTCAGTTCCTTCATCTGTAAAATGAGGATACTAATACCTACAGTTACTATGAGGATCCAATCAGATACCATGTAAAGCACTTTACAAACCTTAAGGCTTGTAGTATCTCTTCCAACTTTAAATTCATGACTGGCTGAGCAGGGGGCAGCTTCGAGGAGCTAAGAGAGCCCTTACAAGCACAAACTTCCCCTTCTAGGACCTCCATCAATATGGAGCAGAGACTATGTCCTCCTCCTTCCTTTCAGGTTTCTGATAACTTTGTAAGGTCTTCCTGCAACTCTGACTAACCAAGGAGCAGACACCTACCAAGAAGGACCCAGGGACACCCAAGGCCTGACTCCCAACCCAAGAGTCCCAGCATTCCTGAGAAGAGGTGACAGGGAGAGCAGAACGAGGGATGGCTCGCCTGGCAGCTGTTTCTGTTTCCAACTTCAAATTATCCAGCAGGTGATCTTAATAGGCTTCTTGGGACCTCGGACCAGCTGACAAAGAACTATAGGCCCATCCTCCAACCCAGGTGGAGAAGATGCTTTGAAGTCAACTCCAAATTTCCTCTGGCACTTCTCATTTTGGGTGTCAATGAAACCTCTAAGAACCCAGTGGGAAGAGGGGTTCAGACCGCCTTATCCCCACTCTCCTGCCTCTAGTCTCCTTCCCATCACGCTTCCCTCCATTCCCAAAGGCACCGCTTGTCACTGCTCCAGCCAAACGCTGTATTTGTCTTGGATTGGGCTACAAACACATTCCGATAACTAAAGGATGCCTTCCCTTGTTTCAGCCCACCCATACCTCTCCCTCACAGGACCCAAGCAGTGATGAATTCTGAACCCAAGCCAGACCTCCAAGAACTCAAATTCAGAGGCCGGTCAAAGGTTAAATTTGTCCTATTTGTTCCCCTCCCACAAAGTACAAACTTTTCCTGGGCAGTGGTTTTTTGGCCTCCCTATGAGACCTCAACAAAGCAGGGCTCTCTGCATTCCCTCCTCCGCCAACCCTAAGATGTCACCTAGATAGGACTTCCCTAGTGGATAAGGGCAGCAATAGGGGGCCAACTAAGAAACAAGTATGTATTGTGTCCCCCCTGTGTAACAGTAAAAAAAAGTAATGACTTGGAGTCAAAAGACCTCAGTCCAAATCCTACCTCTAACCACTATCTGTATGACCATGGGAAAGTCACTTAACATTTCTGGACTTCAAT